TATATATACAAGTGAAGAAGCATGAAAAATACTATCTAGCGAGACCCCCAAAATTCTAATATTCACCCATTGACCTTGTTTGATGGCAAAGCCAAAGACATTGTATCATATACTGTCCAATTTATTACCATGTGAGCACCATATCAAAGGCTTGTTGAAACACACCTATATCAAGCAGTATAGGATAATTTGTTTTTACGACAAGGCCAACCAGTCAGATTAGAAAAATGTACAATTTCTGACTATATACTGTCTGGTACTTGTCCCAGTCTCCCGCGCTTGAAAAACCGAAAGAAGGACGGGGCTGAAGTATGACACTATCACAATGACGATGATGAAGTTAGCCAACATGTGTCGTTTCCAGTACTTCGTCCAAACGCGCCCAACTGGAATATTGTAGTAATGGATTTGCACAAAATTTGAAAGGCAATGGAAAAAGAAGTCGATTCCAATGCCAATTGCAACTCTTTTCAGAGATTCCAAACAGAAAGACGACACCGAAAGTTTAAAACTTTCTACAAAGTACAACACGAAGTAGCCTTGGCTTAAAACAAGTGTACTGTATTCAGAAAGCATATCTTGAATTTCTAAGTCCGCTTTTAACCGTCTATAATGCGGTGTATCCTGAGGCAATTCATTGAGCCCCTGACAGCAAACAGTTCGATTCAAAAGTGTGATAATATATGTCCACAATTTCATCCGTATTCGATGGGTCGCCTTTTCCAAAAAGTTCAGAAAACCAGAGAACAGAGATAACCCAATAAAAAGCCAAATGCTTTTCAAATCTGCTTGCATTGTGCGGTATAAGAGTATACTGTATACTCGGATAATGTACACTACGACAAAACTCCGGCTGGGGTCTACAACCTCGGAGCTTCGTCTCAACGCTATGTGCTTACAAATCGCCGCAGGGATGATGGTTAATCCTGGCACCATCACAGCCACCAAGAATTTGTAATTTTCTTGTCTTATGCCATTAAAAAAAGGCACTATAGCGTATCTGTAGGTCACTCCCAGTACAGAACATGCGAGGAACTCTGCTGAAACTAAAGCCAAAATATGAAACTTAGAATAGGACAATGTATGATTCCTCGATCGGTTCGCTCGGATATTGCGAAGCACGAGAATGCAACAGCAGATTATGCCAGAAAAGAAGAGCGCATTTGCAGGATATCTGTAATACACGCTCGTACCGTAGACACCAAATACCAGCAAAGATAAGTAATAAATTACTGTCGTTTCTCCAAAGATAAAAGCGACGTAAAAGGTGGACAAAAACCTCAGTTTAAACTCTTTCCATCCAAATAAAACTACCATTGTTAGCGGAAACCAAAAATTGATTATCATGACTTCAACACTGTGACCGATCAAACGAAGTCGTTTTACAGAAAATGGTAAAGTGTTATTGTGATATTGCCATTCCAAACAAAGATCCGTTGTGTTTAAATCAATAAAAAGAAACGCCAGTGTCAAAGTTGTCGGTATCAATATAGCGAAAGTAATTCTCAGAGTTGTCCATAGACTTCTCCGAATCGACTCCCAACAATTCCTCCGTCCAGACGAAGTACCATCAAGCCTTGTATAATCTGGTAATATTTCATCAACCAACACTGAGCTTAACTGTTCGTTGGTATGAAAGTTTTCGTATTCTTTATTGATATACGGTTGCCATCTATCATTATCAACCCCTCCATCTTCCGTGTCATCTGTTGGATGAATTTGTTCTTGCAAAGATAAGCGTGGTGTATCGCTCAAGATAAGCGAAAATAATGACAAAAATATATCAATTATTTCTGCCAACATACTGGTAGATTCATATAATTTCAACTGAATCACAAGGAACACGGTTTACTTTACTGAACAATGGATTGTTGTTTTAACTGCACATGTTATTTTCCCCATGAGCTTTCGAATTTCTATATGAACAATACTACATGATGTTTGACGAAGCGTCAACTTAAATGTTCTCTTTTGTACTTATTTCATTCCGTATTAATCCATTTAACATGATTTTCTCCCTCTGTCACAAAGCCAATACTAAACCTATTTCAAAAGTGCTAAAAAATAGGGGAATATATGTCCGTATCATATAGGGGAATATATGTCCGAATATATTCGTGTCAGGGGCTTAATATACCTGTTTTATGCGCATAATTATATAGAGGGCAAAATTACTCAAATATGATTGGCTAATGATGAGGGCATTTTTCTTAATTCAAGGCAAAATTACTTGTACCTGATTGGCTGAGACGCAAGCGCGGAAAGTTTCTTGTTTTTAATAAATAATACCCTGGGTGCCAGAGGTTCTTCCACGCTCGTAGGGGGGATAATGAGGGATACACGAGGATTAAACCTGGAGCGTGGAAGAACCTCTGGCATAAATAGCAGCAATCCAAACAACGTTATTAAAAACTTCTAGTAAAAACTCGAACATGGAGTATTTAAGAAATGGACAGCATTAAGGAAGATCGGCGAAGACATACATGGAGACAAGAACTTAACTACAGTTTCAAAAGTTGTGGGACAGATGCCACAAAACCTTTGAATTTCAACAATCGTCAATCCCCCCTCCCCCTGCTCAATGTTGTGTCCCATTTCTCGTCAGGTTTGATGTGTTTTGGTTTAAGCAACATTGATTGGGGGTGGGGGGAGCGGGAAGGGAGCGGTATTGTGTGTAAGAAACTGTATAACGATCCACTTACAATCTAAAACTACATGTGTCCCAACAACTTCTGAAAGTGATTGTCTGGGCCCCATATGCCATAACATCATTGTATATCTCAAAAGTACACAGGATAGAATGCTCTGCGAAGGAAGTATTTCAGCTCCATTTCATTCACAGAAGACTAATATAACATTTTAGAACAATTAAGTTTCATTAAAATTCTCAAAGTTAATAATTAACAGAAATAGAATATAAATGTAATTTTTTATGTCATATAGCATACTTAATCACAAAGGTTTTATATTTGTTATGTTCACTTTTGCAAAAATATAGAGATTCACTGATGACTTATAAATGTATGCATGAACTAGCGCGCCATCTTATCTAAGTGAGCTATACGATTTAAACACGAGGAATAAGGAAGATCTAAATATTCCACCATGCAAATAAACTTCTTGCTTACTTACGTACTTACTTATATTTGTTCATGATATACGGTCCAGTTCTTCATATACAGTGCAGTTCGTTACATGCATTACAATGATTATAAATGCATGGTGATCACTGATATATGGTGATGCATTTATATAAAGTGGATACATACAAGCTTGTGTTAAACAAACAAGGTTTGGTATAAGCCATGAGTTAAACAGTTTACACGCGATTTTGTAGTGTGTATAGAGCTACATTGGTGAGCTTCACCAAGAGTGGACAGTGTAGTGCGCGGCTAAATTGTTTAGGCGAATTGGCTACGCGACGCGAATTTTCTGAAAAAAACTGAAAATTCGCGTCGCGTTGTCGAGTCGCGTTTGGTCTGTGTAGGCCTTTAAGGTCCACTCACACCGGACGCGATTCGACAACGCGACGCGATTTTTCGATTTTCACTGACCATTAACTTTGATTCTAGTTTAAATTTCCCAAACATTTAGAAGCGGTATAATATTTTGATTTATTTGGTCTACACTTCTTTCAAAATTTGCTCTCATTGGCTGTTTTATTAACCGTCAAAAACTAAAAAATCGCGTCGCGTTGTCGAATCTCGTCCGGTGTGTCTGGACCTTAAGTGTTGAACTTGTCAAAGGGATTCGTATAGATGGAGATTTCAAGTAGCATTTTCATACATTAAGTGTTAAACTATTAGATAGATAGATAGATAGATTATACAATTACTTTATGGTTTCCGTGTTTGGATAGCTTGATTCAAACACGCGGGAATGTTGCGAGAGTTAAGGAAAGCGAGCGAAACACGAGCCGAAGGCGAGTGATTTTGCCCGCTTTTCTTAACTCGAGCAACATTCCCAAGTGTTTGGATCAGTCCATCCAAACACGGAAACCATAAAGTAATTGTTTTATAAAATAACAACAACACGGTAGTCTTCCGTGTTTGGATGGCCTGATCCAAACACGGCTTTCGACCAATCAGAATACGCGTTATATACATGTTATTTTATAAAGATAGATAGATAGAACAACTTTATTTACCCACGCTAACCCTGTCAACCGAAGCTGATTTCCACAGGGGGCGTGTAAAAGAAGATTTACAGTTAGGTATTTACAAATATGAGAAATAGTAATAAGTAGTACAAATTAGATAGTAGAAATAGCAGAATAGTTATTTGCAAAAACGAGAAATAGTAACAAGTAGTACAAATTAGATAGTAGAAATAGCAGAATAGTTATTTACAAGTAGTAGACCCTAGTAGTTGTCTTTTATTTAGAAAATGTGAGCAGCCATTCTCTTTTGAAAGCTTGACAGGGATTGGCTTTCCCTAATTTCACTTGGAATAGAGTTCCATAATTTAGCACCATCATACATGAAACTATTCTACATGCTATTGGTGCGTGGTTGTGGCAGACAAAGACCGCTTGAAATATTTCGAAGTTTATAATCTGTTACCTCATTTAGTGTAAGTGAAGAGGTTTGTAAGAGACTCTGGGCCTGTTTTATTTGGAGTTTTGTACATCATTTTTGCTTTTGCCTTTTTTCTCATAATATCAAGTGGCTCCCAGCCCAAGGCAGATAAAGCAATAGAGTAAGTAATGTACATCATTGCTCATATTTGAAATAATTCGAGCATTTGGATTGTATTTCACCAAATATATCCTAAACTTCAGAGCAATAGATATAACCTGGAACAGTTGCGAAAAACGCAACTATAAGCCATCTGGCAGGAATCAAATCTGCAACCTTTCGACTTGACATTTCCATCTACAAGTCCCATTGATATGGTGTTCACATTACCATATGAGCAGTGAGCACCATGTCAAAGGCTTGGTGAGACCCACCTATATCTAGCAGTATAGGCTAACTTGTTTTTATGACAAGGCCAACCAGTCAGACTAAGAAAACGTACAATTTCTGACTATGTACTGTCTGGTACTTGTCCCAGTCTGCCGTGCTTGAAAAACCGAAAGAAGGACGGGGCTAAAGTATGACACTATCACAATGATGATGATGAAGTTAGCCAACATGTGTCGTTTCCAGTACTTCGTCCAAACGCGACCAACTGGAATATTGTAGTAATGGATTTGCACAAAATTTGAAAGGCAATTGAAAAATAGATCAATTCCAATGCCAATTGCAACTCTTTTCAGAGATTCCAAACAGAAAGACGACACCGAAAGTTTAAAACTTTCTGCAAAATACAACACGAAGTAACCTTGGCTTAAAACAAGTGTACTGTATTCAAAAAGCATATCTTGAATTTCTAAGTCTGCTTTTAACCGTCTATAATGCGGGGTATTCTGAGGCAATTCAATAAGGCTTCGACAGCAAACAGTTCGATTCAAAAGTGAGATAATGTATGTCCACAATTTCATCCGTATTCGATAGGTCGCCTTTTCCAAAAAGTTCAGAAACCAGAGAACAGAGATAACCCAATAAAAAGCCAAATGCTTTTCAAATCTGCTTGCATTGTGCGGTATAAGAGTATGACACCACCTCGGATAAAGTATACTAGGACAAAACTCCGGCCGGGGTCTACAACCTCGGAACTTCGTCTCAACGCTGTGTGTTTACAAATCGCCGCAGGGACGATGGTCAGTGCCGGTGCGATCGCAGCCACCATGAATTTATAATTTTCTTGTTTTACGCTATTAAAAAAAGGCACTATAGAGTATCTGTAGATAAATGCCACTGCAGAACATACAATGAACTCTGCTGAAACTAAAGCAAAAATATGATGCTTAGAATAGGAGAATGTTTGATTGCTCGATTGGTTCGCTCGGATATTGCGAAGGATGACAATGCTACAGCAAATTATGCCAGAAAAGAACAACACATTACCAGGAATTCGGTAATACACGCTCGTATCGTAGACACCAAATACTAGCAAAAATAAGTAATAAATTATTGTCATTCCTCCGAAGATAAAAGCGACATAAAAAGTGGACATAAACCTCAGTTTAAACTCTTTCCATCCAAATAGAACTACAGATGTCAGCGGAAACCAAAGATTGATTATCACCGCTTCAACACTATCACCGATGACGCGTAGTCGTTTTACAGAAAATGGTAAAGTGTTATTGTGATACTGCCATTCCAAACAAAGATCAGTTGTGTTTAAATCAACATAAAGAAACGCCATTATGACAGCCGTTGACGGGATCAGGGCGACCATAACAGTTAGAGTTGTAAGCGAACTTTTCGAAATCGACTCCCAAAAACTCCGCCGCTCAGACGAAACACCATCAAGCGTTGTATAATCTGTTAACTGTTCGTTAGTATGAGAATTCCCGTATTCTTTATTGATATAGGATTGCCATCTGCCATCATCAGCCTCTGACTCTTCCGTATTACTTGTTGCAGGGTTATTGATCAGAACTTGAGAAGATACGCTTGGTGTTTCGTCGAAGACAAGCGAAAATAGTGACAAAATCATGCCAATTATTTCTTCCAACATACTGCTAGATTTTGATAGATTGATATAATTTCAAATCACATGCGTTGCTGGACAACAGATTGCTGTTTCCGTTGTTTTCCCCGTAAAGTTTCGAATTTCCATGAACAGCACTGCATGACGTTTGACGAAGCGTATTAATTCATTGCGTATTAATCCATTCAACATGATTTTTTCAAAAGTGTTAAGAAATAGGGGGAAATATAACTGCCAAACAGAATGATAATGTAATTAATTAAACTCATAGACGACACTATATATTAATTAATATATATGTAAAGACACTTTATTTACAATGTAATTATGTCCTTTTTATATAAAGGTGAGGGGTTGTGCCCTTTAACTGTTTAAGTATGCGTGTCGAAGTGCTTGTCAGACTATCCGGTTTACATCGTCGAAATTACTTTCGTATTAAAACTGTTCTACGAGGGAAAATCTTATCATGATATAGTCCAGCGTATATGCACAGATATTTGAGAAAATCACGCACTTTGTGAAGAAAGCACCAAATTCACAGGGAGTGTAGACTTTAACATGATAATGATTAATTTTGGTGATGCCTCCATATCTAAGATTCATTATTAATGAATCTTAGATATGGAGGCATCACCAAAATTGATGCTGACGGCTTAAAATTTAGGATTTCTTATATTTTCTTATTAATCTCTTTTACAATTAAAAATTGTGAAATTGCAGGTTCACATATAGCGAAAATGACATGTGTCATTAGAAAGCTTACAAAAAACTGCATATAAGACATTAAAGCAGTTACTTTGATTTTCTAATTCCTCTGGAGTTATGAGCGGTTGAAAATGTTTTAGGGCTAGTGTCCAGGACTTTGGCGGGATTTTTGCCTATTTATTACGTTTTTAAATAGCAATAACTGGAAAACCGCTTGGAAAATCAATCAGCCGTTTAAAAGTCTTATATGTAGTTTTTTGTAAGCTTTCTAATCATGCAA